TAGCTTTATTTTTGCTCTCAGTATGTTTGTGTCCATTTCCATGTTTTGAGAAATTCTATCATATCTCTTGGAGAAAAATTCTACCATTGTAAACACATTCCAATATTAAGAAACTTTTTAAAAATATTTCATTGCAACCAGGGATATTGTCATGATACTCCTGAATGGTTCTCTGGAAATCATACCTCTCTGGGGATGATTATAGCCTTCTAAAATTTAGAACAGGGACTTGAGAGTTCATCTCATCCACAGCCCCTCCCCCTTTCTGTATATGTAGAAATCAAAGTCTAGGGTGGAGAAATGACTTGTTTAAGTAGTCAGTAGCTGAGCTGGAATTCAAACCCAGTTTCTTACATTCTAAATTCAGAGATATTTCCACTGCGCAATAAAAGTTTGTGTTCTTGCCTTCTTTCCATCTTCCTGTAAAAATACTATATGAAGCCCAAATTAGTATATTTAATATGAAGGAAAATAAAATTTAAAAGTTAAATAGACACCTGTGAGAACCTGTCTTTCACATGGACTTCCCTGATCACTAGTCCTCATTGATCTCCCCACCTCTGAGTTATTGTAGCACTTACTATCTCATTTGGGTCTTTAATCACATACCACTTAGTATTTATTATTTATTTCATATATATGTCTTATTTTTCTAACTCAAATATTAAGACCTTTAGCCTTCCTGGGTCTCTACTGCCTAATCTCTAGAATGAGAGGTTGAGACTGAATGGCCCCTGACCTCGCTTCCAGTTGTAGATCTGCGATTTGAAGAGGATCCTGTGATTTTCTAGGACAGTGTCATGTTTTACATTTCTTTTGTATCTGTCCCAGCACTTAGTTGAATATCATCTATGCATCTATAAATCAACCAGCATTTATTTAGTGCTTACTGTATGTTGGGAAATAGAGATACAAAGAATGAAACAAACCCTAACATCAAGGAGTTTATCATATTGATAATATTTGTTGTTTAGTCATTGCAGTCATGTCAGACTCCTTGTGACTCCATTTGGGGTATTCTGAGCAAAGATCCTACAATGATTTGCCATCTCCTTCTCCAGCTCATTTTACAGATGAGGAAACTGAGGCAAACAGGGTAAAGTGACTTGCCCAAGGTCACACAGCTAGTAAGTATCTAAGGCCAGATTTGAATTTCAGGAAGATGAGTCTTCCTGATTTCAGGCCCGGCACTCTATCTGCTGTGCCACCTACCTGCCCTTTGATTATATTAGATACATATATTTCTAATTAAACCTAACACTTTAACACCTCTGTCACTTTCTTTGTCATCACCAATGTCAATAGCAACATTTATTAGGCAACTACTCTGTGAAAGAGGGTGTTCTAAGTGTTGGGGATACAGATAAGCACAAGATATAGTCTTGACTTTTTTTAGGGGTTT